GCACCCGGCCTCGCCTAACGCCCGCCCTGCGTCCCGCAGGAGAGAAGCTGGCAAGACCCACGCGCGTGCGCTTTGACGCGGAGATCGCGCATCACCTCCTGCGCTGGGAGCCGGGACACAACCACACCAGCGATGTCCGCTACGAGGTGGAGCACAGAGTGTGAGTAGAGCGACGGGGGCGCAAGGGGGTTCGGCCTCAGCCCGGGATCGGATACCGACAGCGCCGCCAACCCAGCCCCTGGCACCCGCCCGTGCCGCTCTCACCACCGGCACTTCTCCCTGCAGCTACGGCAGGGAATCCTCCTTGATGGGCATCCCAAACTGCATGAACATCTCGGAGCACTCCTGCGACCTCACGTACTACACCCTGGACCCTGCCCTGCGCTACTACATGCGGGTCAGGGCCGTGTCTGGAAACCACACGTCCCTGTGGCAAAGGACCAACTCTTTCTCCCCGCTGGAAGGTAGGTCGGGTGCTTGTCCCGTGGCTGGGGGCAGGAGGCTTCAAGGTCAGGGTGCCAAACTGCTTGGGAAGAACTTTGGGACAGAGGAGAGCGGGGATGTCTCTCTCCACCCCTTCCTGGAGGGCAGCCAGGCTGCGGGGTGGGATGGGACAAACCTAGGACAGGCGGCACCGGCCACGGGGAACAGTCGCAGCTCGGTCTGCTGCTGCAAAGGCTCCTAGAGGTGCAAACGGGAGAAAACCCTAAGGTGCTCTTCCAACCGGCTTGTCCCCAGCCAGCCTGCGGCTGTCGGGCCAGAAGCTCTCCGTGACGGGCAACACCATCCACGTGCAGCTGCGACTGCTCCTCAGGGCAGGGAACCTCACCGTGAAATACGACGACATACAGAAGTACGCGAGGCGGTACCGGGTGTTCGTCAGGAGCGCAAAGGACAACCGGACGGTGAGAGGAGTTTCGGGTCCTGTGCTGTCCTCATCTGCCACGTGCAGTGCTGCTCAAGCTGAAAAACACGTTTTTAAAGCGCAGGCTTCTGTAAAAGTTAATATTGAGCTTTCTCACAGCCGCAGCATGGCAGAGAGATTTCTCTGCACATTTGACCGCAGCAGGCTCCCCAGCTCTCGTCGGGATTGTGGGTCGAGCTGCTGTCAGCCGCATTGCTAAGCACCCCGGGGACTTTCCCCAGAGGACAGTGGAGGAGGAGGGAGGAAAGCCCAGGGCCCAGCACTCCCGCAGGAGCTGGGGGCTCTCAGGTACCAGCCTGTGCTCTGCTCGTTGCAGTACGAAGTGATGGAGAACGTCACGGAGATCAACATCAGCAACCTCTTCTGGAGCACGGAGTACTGCATCAGCGTGGAGCCCAACGTGGCCAGCCGGCACATCCACGCCATACGTACCGCCGAGCAGTGCGTCTCCATCGGCAAGGGAGACAGTAAGTGGTGGGGGAGCCGGGGAAAGGGGGTGCCTTATGGGACATGGAGCCTCCTCAGCCTCCTGGCCCTGGGGGCATGGGGGTCTGCACCAGGGCAGCCGCTCCTCTCCCCCGCTGCGGGGCCTTCGTGCTCTGTGCACCCAGGACTCTGCCTTTCCCCCCCTCACCTGGGCATGGCCTCTCTTGCAGAGAGCTTGGAGTTTGTCCCGAGCATCTTCATCTCCTCTTTCATCACCCTGTTGCTCCTGAGCCTCCTGGGGATTCTGCTGGTGTGCACCTACATAAAGAAACCCGTGAGGCCACCGTCTGTCCTGGTAAGGCAGCCGGACACACGGCACAGCGAGGGTGCAGGCTGCGGTAGCTGCTGGGAGGTGATAAGCAGGGACGGAGCGCGTCTCACTCCCTGTTTTTCTCTCCCTCCCAGAAAACTTTCATAAAGCAGCACTCGCTCTGGGTGGAGCAGGAGTCCTCGTCCTCGGGCAGCCCGGACGCCGACTCCGTCCAGCAGCTGTTCCTGTGCCAGAAGGAGCCCCAGCAGGACGGCGTCCCCAGCAGCAGCACCAGCACAGCCCAGCCGCCCCTGGAGAAGGGCTGGAGGCTCCCAGCGTGGCCCGAGGACCAGGCGTGCCTGCTGGGGACCACGGGGAGCCGGGACAGCAGCTGCACCAGCACCGACAGCGGCATTTGCCTGCACGCCTCCTCCTCCGAACTGAGCTACTCCTCAGGCCCTGAGCCCCAGGGCGACAAGCGGCGGCTGCCCGCTGGCGACGACAGTGGCATGGGCTTGGAGAGCGCCTGCCCTCGCCCCACGTGCTCCTCCGGCAGTGGAAACACCGGCCCCACGGAGGCCGGGCAGCCCCACGGAGGGGAGCTTGGTCTCTCCCCCGCCGCCGCCGGCCAGGACAGCCAGCAAGACGTGGAGTTCCGCGGGTACCTGCAGCAGTCCAAGGGCACGGTGGAGCCAAGGCTGGACCCAGCCAAGGAGGTGGCCTTCTGGAGCCATGCAGGACCCCTGCAGGGCCCGGGCAGCACGGACGTCATGCTGGATGTAGAGTGCTCCGAGCTGGCTGTGGCCAAAGGGTATTTGAAGCAGTCCACCCCCGAGCATCCCTGCAGCCATGCACAGGACCTTGCTCCATGGGGTGCCGCTCGGGAGTCTGCTACCTGGGACTTTTCTAGCCACGTGGGACCCCGAACCCCTGCTCTGCTGAGCTATGGGGCTCCGGGTGCTCCCCTGGCCTCCAAAGCCGGCCCCGAGCTCCTGAAAGCTCCCTTGGACCTGAGCATCTTCAACACCGACCTCCTGGGGACTCTGCCCCTCATCTCCAGCCTCAGCACCAACGAGTGGCTCACGCTGCAGCTCAACCCCCTGAGCCTGCTCAACGGGGACAGCAAGGACAGCCGGCTGTGAGCCCTCCCTGTGCCGGGGAGCGGGCGCCCGCCAGCCCCACACCCTGACCCAACTACCTCTTCTTGCCTCTGCCCATGGGGAGCAGCTACTCCGATAAGCTACCGCCGACCCCTGAATGTTAATTATCAAAGCGAGGGGTGCCCCGGCCAAGACTCGCCCAAGAAGCACCGGCTTCGTTCCTTCTGGGGCTGCTTTGGCCCTGGCGCCGCTGTGGCCAGCCCCCAGCCCTCCCTGCCCCTTCCCTCCTGCCAGTCTCCGGGGTAAAGCAAATGCGACACGGGGACGGGCTGCACCGGACAGGCTCGGACCCCAACTACCAAGCCCAAGGTTGCACACCAGGACGTTTCCAAAGGGCGATGGTGCCCCATCTGCCCTCCCCAGCAGCCCAGCGCAGGGCACGCAGCCTCCGGGCTCATGGCCAGCCTCGGGGCCCGGGCCAGCACCAGCCCTGTGCTTCCCCTCCCCACTTCCCCCTTCCCCCTGGTCCCTCCAGCCGACGTCCACGCCACTGCCGATGTCCAAACGACGAGCAGCCTGACGTCAGCCATCGTGCTGCTGGGAGGGCAGGGCTCCCACCCCCGCCTGGCCTCCCTTGGAGGCAGCGAGGGACTTTCCTGACCCTACCGAGACCCTTCAGCGTTCAGACCCGAGGGGCTGGCTGCCTCCAAGGCGCTGGCTGCCTCCGAGGGGCTGCAGGACACGCACAGCGCCTGCCGCGCGAGCCCAGCGCGAGCCAGGGCAGCCCCGCCCCCGTTACGGTCCATGTTCAGCCACTATTGCGTACAGACATTATTTATTCTATTTAATTTGTAAATACAGAAAGGATGTTGTGTTATGTCTTGGGTCCACTCATCTGTCTCTCCTCTTCTAAGGTCAACCTGCACTTTCTGTTTTCCGAGGCAGACTTTCCCCCGCAGCAAAGGGCACCGTGCCTTTGCCTTACGTGGGGA